AAAATGGCCAAAGTCGTATTTTCTGACATGCTTTGGAAGAGCTCAAGGTCTTTTTATGTAGCATTGCTCCCCTGTGCTCTCAAATCTGGAATGTTGTGGGTTCAAATCCCAAGACTGGAAGAGTAATCATATCACCTTTGGGCTCCTTGAACAATGTGTGTACCCGTAACTTCTCCCGGGATTCCAAATGTAGGCTGGCTCCAAGCTTTCCTCATTTGTACATCATTTTTGAACAAAAGCATCTGTTAAATTAATGTAAATGAGCCTAATTGTACTTGAAAGCCTTACCTTTGTGCAATTCCTATGATGTTATCCAGGAGTCTCTCAGCAGAGTGGGTTCTTCTTTATTCATGTACTATGGGGTTTTTTGTGGGTGTTCAAAGGCAAATGCACCAAATGTTTATTTTCGTACCGCTAGACTCAGAAGGTGGACTTTTTTTTTTATTTCAGAAGCACCTCCTTTAAGGACAGATGAACATGTGTGCTGCATATGTTTTCTGGATGGAGGGCATTAAAGGGACCCAGCTGGCTTCGTGGTACCTCACTGCTGCACTCATGCTGTGAGGAGGAGTTACTGCAGTCAGGGTACGAAGTTAGTAAGCACGGAGTAACTGGTCCTGCTTCCTACACTGTCCATGCCATAGGTAGCAGGCCCCTGTGGCTTCCCCATTTGTCCCCCCCAGACGACTGTTCCTGGATGCAGGATGTAAATAATTACACCGGTGTGGAAAGTAAAACCTTAATATGGAGATGGGTCTGTTATGTGTGCTGGTCATTTTGTCCCTGAATTAAACCATTTAAGATATTTCCTGTTTTTATCGACTGGATTTATCAGAGTCCTTGTCCCGTGAACCATTCTGTCATGTCACCGTGACCGCCCCTCTCCATCTCCCTCCTGGGGCTGAGACAAGTGACCCTTGTGCGTAGAGAGGGTGCTGCGTAGGAGGTTTGGGGGGGGGGGGGGGGGGGGGGGCTGGCCCTTGATGGCACCCTGCCCCACTGGGAACTGAATAGCCGGGAGTAGAATATGGCCACTGTGAGAAGCAGGTGTCCCTGGAGGAGCCCAGCCCACCCCCATGCTGCAAGGGGCTGCTTCTCATTGGTTGCCGTGGAGTTTAAAGGCACGGAAACCCTTTCTGACACGGATGCGAGGCATGTAGTGGAGCCTTCGGTGGTGCTGGCGAGCCGCAGCAAGCGGTTTAAACCACTGGTATAAGTGGCAGAGGACAGCATGGGTTCGAGTCCCGCCCCGCTTCTATGTGTTCCCGTGTTCTCCCAGTGTGCCTCCCTTCAGGAAAGCTCCCTCCTGCCGTGCAAAGACCTGCTTGAGCAGGTACAGTGCTGACTGAAGCGCCCTTAGACAGCGATAAGTCCTGTCCATGATCCTCCCCGGGCCAGCCTCTGGATCACTGTGACATTCCCTGGATAACTGGGATAGCTGGATCTGCTCTGTTATTTTGTGCCCAGAATGATGAATGTGGCCCCATTTATATTACAGGGCATGCAAAACAGGATTATACATCAGTGTCACTTTGCAATTCACCGTATTACTTATTCTCTTTCTCTCACTGTCACTGTGTCTATAGCTGGCGGGGGGTGTGTTGGTTCAGAGCCCTCACCTCTGAAGGGGGGGTGCTGTGCCTTTAAGGGTGGTCATTCACTCGCATCACTTCAGATTCAGGTGAAGCTTTCTCATACTGAGATGTAATGTCGGTGGTTAAGGTTTCGGTGAAGGCTGGTGTACTCCCCCAGGGTGACTGCCACATCTCTCCTAAACTAGGGCATTTTGCCTTGTGGATTTTTTTGTAATTATTTACTTTTTGAGAAGATCCTTGGAGACTGGAGTGCAATGGAGGGCATCGCTTTTCTCACCGAAATCACTTTCCTGTCGTCTGTCACTGGGAGGCATGATTGAAGTGGTTCATGGGCTGTGTCATGTTGGGGGGGGGGGTTATATTATATATATATTTTATACATACTGCCCTATGGCATGGTGGTGCAGCGGTTTGCACTGTCGCCTCACATCTCCACCAGGGTTCCATGTGTGAGGAGTTTGCATGTTCTCCCGTGTCGTCGTGGGGTTTCCCCCCCGCAGTCCAAAAACATGCTCATCCCATCCTGGGTTGTAGCCTCTGGGATAGGCTCCAGACCCCCTGTAACCCTGAATAGGACAAGTGGTTACAGAAAGTGGATGGATGGATGGATATACTGTCCTACAAAGGCAAAAGGAAGTAACCACGTATAATTCCAAAATTGGGTAATGACCAACATTGGGTCTATTAGGGTCTGTATTACCTTGTGACAAAATATCCAAGATCAGCTTTTCTTGATTTGGAAGAAAATGTTATCATATACCTACCTGCTAAGCGTACAGATGGACAGCCCAAAAACTTTGAAGCCCTTTTTCTGTTTCATTGTCAGTATCGTTACGGTATTTTGCCTTCGTGGGGCAGTATAAGGCACGTGATAGGGAGACATTTGCTGAAAAATGAAAGTAATATCTGCAGATTGAGGGAAAGTATGTTGAGGTTACAGGCTTGTTCCATCACCTTTCAATGAAAATATTATTCCTTGTTCAGTCACGTTTCCCCGCTCAGCGAAGCCGCTGACACGCTCTGGGGGACAGGCTTTGAATGAAGCTCAGCGGATCATGGACGTGAGGACAGACGCCCTGGTGCTAATTACACCTCACATCCCGGGAAACTCTCAGACCCGCTTAAGCCTTTGTGTATTTTGGCCCTGTTGCTCGGGGGGGTGAAACGTTGTGATAAGACATGGAATATTCCCTTTTACTATATAATTTACATTTTAGCCTCTTCTCCATGACCTTTGTATTTTACCTAATTGTAGTTCTGTATATTTAAAACTGATTTCCTGCACTCCTGGGACTTGAAACAGCAACCTTCTGGTTACGGGCCCGGACAGCGCTCCCTGCTCATCTTTCCTAAAGCAGGTGTGAATTAATTTGGACTCAACTGAGCTCGCTCTCCCTGGGTGCTGGGGGGTGTTATTCAGGGAGAGTGTTCACCACTTTCCTGGCTTTATTTACAGTGGGGTGTGTGTGTAGGGCAGGTGATTCAGAGGCAGACAGGAAATAACATGCGAGGTGAAATGTAAGGCACTAATTATCTGTGCCCTGGTATGCCAGCGTTTTTTTAGCAATTAAATTATTTTTAGCAGTTTTTATTACTAGTATTAGTCTTTGCTTAAAGTAATTTTAAAAGATATTGTATGCTGGTTTTGATTCTGTTGCACAAACCAAGTGATGATCAGCATCTTTTGAATGGGGAAGTGAAATAGATGGACAGTGATCGGGAGAAAGCCTTTCTGGGCTTTTCGGGGGCCATGGGCTCGAGTCCGGCTTCCGGGCCAATACCTGTGACATTTTTTTCCCATTTAGGACACTGTGTGGTTCTAAGGTCCCTGGTTCTAGTGTGAGCGCATTCTTTCTGAGCAGGCTAGACCTGTTCGGTGGGGCTCGGATCCTGCAGTGCAAGGTCTCGTGTGTCATTCACACATTTTCCGTTCACGGTCTGCTCCCGGGGACGCAAGTGGAATGCCGGTTGAGCGATGTCGCATTCGTTCGGGGCTAGCAGAGCCTGAGTGTTGGGGTCGGTCCGGGTCCGGTCCAGGGAACCCTCCTTCATATTTGAACTTCAGCTCCATGTCATTGGGGGGAGGGGCGGAGCCACCGGCCCATTGGTTTGTGGGTAATATCCTGACTAATCCTTCTCCCCGTCCTATTCTGTGTTCAGACTGGGTGTGTCAAACCACACTCACTCACCCTGCCTCTCCTAACCCTACCCCACCCTGTCCCATGTATACAAAAGTAGCCCATCTGAGGGGGGGAGGTTACCCACAATAAAATTAGATTAAAATAAAGCTCACAGTAATCACAACTACCCCCCCCCCCCCCCTGTAATCGGAGTATTGAGCTCTGGGCTGGGATTACTGTGTGAGGATCAGCAGATCAAAGGGGCACCCTTCACCACAAAGTGCCCCCGCACCCAGCAATGCCCCAGAACCACGGGCCGAAAAAATAGAAGTGTGATTAATTCATGGTGTATGTGTGGGTGGGGAGGATGTGGACGGGGGAGGGCATCGGAGACCACCCACCAAGGAACCATGCGCTCACCCTGGCCACGCCTCTGCGGTCTCCATCTGGACGAATCGCATCTTGTGACAGGAACTGCTGAACGTTTTACTGGTCAACAGATGCAGCCTGTGACTTGAGAATCCTGCAGAATGTGGTGGGGGCCCACACTTGGTCGCCCTTTCTTCATTTAGGGTGGCGGGACCGTGAGCGAGCCGCCTCCTGATGGGCGGGGCTTGTCCCTGGGGCCTGTGAGTGGCCCGAGTTTGTCGCCATGGATACTTGGCTTTTTGAGTGACAGCAGGTGGATTCTTTAGCTTTCTGGCTCCACCGTGTGTTTTTTCTTCCTTAGACTCCATTTGTCATCCCCTGAGCCGCTACCACGGAGCTCGGCTGACCCCTCTGGTGGGCCGCACTGCTTTTTCCACTGCACAAGTATGCGGCTTTAATTAGAACGTACGGCGGCGTTGTCGCCGGGCCAGGATACAGTACTGGGGAGCTCTCCGCTGGGTGTGCGGGTGACTCTCTCTGTGAGTGTTTGGGAACCTCAGCAACACTGAAAAATATGTGGAATATACAGTCCAATCCAGTGGATCACATGAAAGGGTCTCACCCCTCACAAATGAGTGATGAGTGAGTCGTCTGTTTCCCGGCCATCTCTGGTCCTTGCCGTCTTCAGACGGAGCAGGGGAGTCTGGCTGCCTCGCTCCCTTCATTTTTAGGTTTGAGAAATGAAACGTTTTCCCTGGCTTCACACGGACGTTCCTCCCGGCCCTCGTCACTAACCGGTGGCACTGGGTCTGTGTTGTGAAACAGCCACTGTCCTTCGCATGCGTCACTCGCGGGCCTTCAGCGTCCCTGCCCTCTTCTTCCCGCTGCGCTGATATATTTTTTTTTGTGTTAACAGGAGACTCCACGTTCGCCGATGACCACAGACCTCCTGCACCCAGGGTAAGAGCCCCCCCATTCACCCCCCCCCCCGTCTCGGTGTGCATCTCCCTCATGGTGAATTTATTGTTTTTATTTATTTTAACATGCTGCTCAGTCTTTGGGGAGGGGATGTTGAGGGGGTTTATCTTTTCAGAGGAATCCAATGGGAACCATCTTTGCCGTCATTTGGCCGGCTGTAACCGAGCGTCTCTGCCTTGATAAGTAAACACTCTGCTCTTCATTCTTTGCCATGTTTACTTGGATGTTATAGGTCACAGAGCCGAGTCGTATTTGGAGCGTAAGTCCTCTGCTCGGGGCTGTTTATGTAGATTAGAAGCGTTTGACTTGGCAGAAATGAAAAGCCTTGAATATGGAGTGGAACCTGCTCTGAGACCTGCAAGGCTTTTAATTATTCTTAATGTGACCATTGTTTTAGGTGACTATTTCTGAGGGACCCATAATTTTTACCCCCTACCTTTCATTCCAGCATGGAAAATTTGAGGCTTCCCACCCCAACTCTCATAAGCCATGCCATCACATCTGCTAATGTGTGCACTGCAGGCTGGTTGTCACCCTGCGTAGGCCGCAGCCTCATTGTCGCCCTCTGCAGGCCGCAGCCTCATTGTCGCCCTCTGCAGGCCGCAGCCTCATTGTCGCCCTCTGCAGGCCGCAGCCTCATTGTCGCCCTCTGCAGGCCGCAGCCTCATTGTCGCCCTCTGCAGGCCATGGCTTCCTCAGATGACGTAGCGCATGTAGAGGTGACTGCTGGTCGCTTGTGTGCACAGGTAGCTCTATAAGTGCCTGCCTGACGATAGATTGTGCCTTAGAGTGATGAAAGGGACTTAAGTCCCTACTCTACTTTTCCTGGAGTGTCACTGCAATGGGATTCAAGATGCAAGATTCAAAACTTTGTCATTTATACAAGTATGAGTAGAAGTACAATGAAATTCTGGCATGCATTCCTCCCAGCACATTTATGCAGCATCTAACAGAGAGCACAGTCAACTACACATAAAGTAAATACATCATAATTAGTGTACATACAATAGGTACAATAAACATACAATATATACTGTACAGTATGCACAATATACCCTGTATGTACCATATACACTGTACATACCCAGTATACCATACAGCAGCATGCAAGGTGCTGCTTTAGTCACATGGGATTTGTATTAGGGCTGTAATGCTACTCACCGTCGATTATGACTGACCGTAACCAGCATTAACCATGTTCACAATTAATATAATGTTTTCCATGTTAAGCATCTACTTCTGAATTTATGTTCTGCCCCTGTCAAAAATGTATTCATCCGTTTCGTTTGTAGGTTCCAAATCGCGACGATGTAATCAAACGTGTACCGTTACAGGGCTAATTTGTGTGAGGATGTGTAGCCTCAGGTTTTTGCCGGATGAGTTTCTGTTCCATCTGGGCTCTTTTGTATGCTTAATTGAGCCTAATTTTCAATTAGCTTTGTTGTTAATATATTTGATACTAAAGACTAAATTGATACAAAAAAGTTCAGTGCTAATTCCGTGTGCTAAATAAGTGACAGGTAAAGTGATCACAGGGCATTTCTTGAAAACTATTCATAGAAGAATTAAAATAATGTACATGGTACAGAAGTTGGGATACCCGTTGATCTTGATTTGCTCTAGAAAAATCATGTGACACTGAGATGAATACAATTTTGACACTATGGCTTTCTGGAGTGTCAATAAACAAGTTTGCGTTGCGCCTGTATTTTCGGGAAGGACCTGAAGGGGTTGGAGTGAGGAGTGTGAAGGGCTGCTTCATCGTGCAAAAGCGTGCTTCTAAGAGTGACCACCTGCAGCAAAACAGCTCCGTTCGGGATTCCACCAAGAGCGCTCACCGCTCTGCTTGTTTATTGCTTGACCGATGTTAACAAATATATAGTCTTGCAGCGCCTTACGGCCAATACAATACAAACAGCTGTCAGTTGATTGGTTCCCGGGGCTAATGTGCTCTATTCTAACCATAAGCCTGGTTGTTTCAGAGCTTAGTTCTTTGAGCATATGGTACGTCCCTCCTCCGAGTACATACACGGATACCTCAAGGTCTCATAAAATTTTCCCATGTCCTTTATATCCAGGAAATGCTTGTCTTCCACTTTACGGCCCTAATAGAGCAGTAAAAGCCTTCCTTAAAGCACGTAAATATGATCTATCCGCAAAGATAGTTTAGGATACTTCAGGTCACAGAGGTGAGAGCCCCGCAGGAGCTTAAAGTGAAAGGACGCTGGTTTGGCCCCGGACCACGTTCGGCTTTCACCAGAGTTCAGCAGAGCTTCCTCTGCAGGCTCTGTAAATCTGTGTCATTTCTGTCACAAAATATATCTTATCTGGTCCTTTGCAGCTGTTGCCAAAATATGTTTCTCTCTGCCTTTTTGGTGCAAAGGACCAAATTGTTTACTTTCTCTGAGGGCGTCCTGTCCTCTCTGAGGAAATAACGGGGAGGACATTGCTGAGATAGTAATGACTCCCTGTTCTGCCCTGGCGTCTGTCTGCTCCTCCTGTGTGGTTTTCTGACTGTGAATCTGCAAAGGACGCAGTCTAGGACGCATGGCCTGAGTAGTAATTGGATAAACAGCAGAGGACCACTGAGGTTTCTAGATCTGCCCTGGCTGTAAATGTGTGCTTCATGTGTGCTTCGTACTGTTCCTTGTACAGGTCTTCACAGCTCCTCCAAAGCGGACCTGTGGGAGCTCTTATGAGGGTGAGGGGGACAGGTCTTCTGACGAGTAACGCCTATCAGAGTGAGTGACAGTTGAAAGGCTGGACAATTCCTGTTGGAACCTGTGAGAATCAGTGTGGAATAAAGGGTCAATTCCTCTAAGGGCAAAGGTGTCAAGACTTCCTGTCAATCTCAGACTGGGAGGCACAAAAGGTAATAGTGTGCAATTGAAATGGCTTCGTTCTTAGGACCGATTCCATTGGTCATCTACACTGGTCATTCCATTGGTTACCAGCTGGCAGGTCTTTCTTGGGGCTGGCGAAGGTCAGAGCACTCGCCTAAGGCCAAGCCCTTAAGAACCATTTATTTAGTTTCTCGAGTAACCTTGATGTACTCAGTGAGTCCTCCTCCGCTTTCCAGTCAGGTTACATTTGTTCATTTTAAGCAAGCATCCAGAAAATTTTAATCCAGTGAACAAAACCGACATGCTGGTATGTTTGACTTCCTGAATGACTGGACGTGTTTCTTTGTCAAAGGCTGTTGCTTGGTCCAGTAGTGCTACATTCAAGTGTCACACTTCGTTGACCCCCATCAATGAAAGGTGAAAGCAAGCTGTGCAGTGAAGGGCAGCCACCTGTAGCGGTGCCCAGGGAGCTGGGGAGGGGGTTAAGGGCCTCGCTCAAGGGCCTGCAAACGTGACGAGGCTGGGCTTGAATCGAGAACCTCCCGATCACAGGCAGAGAGGCTTAGCCCACTGAGTATAACCCAGTATACTCCAGAAGGATCAACATCTGTTTTTTGGTCTTCACTATTGATCAGGCGTACTTAAATGGTGAACCCCGGTAGGCATCCGGACCGAAACGCGATATAATCTGGACCGCATGACTGACTCATTCGACAAAATCTACCAAGGGAAGCTAATAGCACCCCCCCCCCATCCAACGGAATTTGGACCTCGGTAAACACAATTGAGCACTCCAACTATAGATAAATAACTTAGAAATTTTTCAAACTTTAGCCATCTTGTCCCACAGACCAACTTGGATGCCTCAACACCAGTGTTCATGCTCCTCTGAGACTCTTTGCAAGATGGCTGCTCCTTTTACATGCTACCGGCAACAGTGCCTTGCTAGAGAGGGCTGTCTCTGACTCAGGGAACAGTGTGGCTGCCATGTGTACCTGACAGGTTTCCTGGAGAACTTTTGCGTGCTTATTTTTCCTTCAATCAGGAGGGCAAGAGATTGGGTCGAGTCAGCAGTCTGTAATGAAGAGTGCTTGCCAAGGCGTAGGAGAGGACAGGACAGGAATGAGAAGGAGGCCTGGTGTGTCTCCTTGATGACTCCTGCTCACAGAGAGGCCGCACAACCTCTGAGCGTCGCAGATGCATTTTTCTCAAAGGGTGCAGTTCAAATCTCTGCAAACAATGTACGATTCACAAGGGAGCAGGACCATAAGTGGATTTGGCAACTGCTCAGTGGTCTATATCCCCTGGGCAGTCTCTGATATGGTCATGCTTATTACGCATTTTTGGCCGGGCATCAGATTTCCTGCTTCTGCAGAACTGCATTATTTTTTCATTGTTTGTGACGTGGGGTCAGGATTGATGAGTTGGAGCCCTTTTGTGGGGGGGGGGGGCTTCACCGGGGGTCGGAGTTTCTGAAGGGGCGAGCGGGGGGGCTTGCTTCCCAAGCTTTGTTTGTTTCAGTCTTGCATAAATGTTTCCCTTTCCCATCCACTTGTGCGACCTGTGATTGATGCTTCTTTATGGGACCGTCTGCTGGTCAGTCTTCCTTCTAATCGAAACTGCATGCTCTACATGGACTTCTGATCTGCAAAAGCCTCCCCCCAGCGATGTTCTCCATCACCCTGTGTACCGTAGGTGCTGCCCTTCCCCAGCCAGGTGGTGTACAACCGGGTCGGTAAGTGTGGTAGCCGCACTGTGGTCCTACTGCTGCGGATCCTTGCCGAGAAGCACCGGTTCAACCTGGTCTCCTCTGACATTCACAACAAGACCCGGCTCACCGAACAGGAGCAGGTAAGCCAGAGGCGATTTGAAGGATATCGGGCTAGAATAGCCATCTGTGATTTATTGGGGGAAAAATGGCACCTCCCTCCCAAAAATACCTAAAAAGAGGGACATCTGAGTATAGTGTAGTGTATCCTCTGCCCCGACAGTAGTGTGTCCGCACACGCTCAATACCACCTCAGATCTTAAGGAAGTTTTAAAAATATCAAGAATCATCTGTCTTATCTTTAACTTTTACATTTGCAGACTAGGCCATCCTGACGGAACTGTAGCTGAATTTAATGAAATGCTTTTGAGACAAACTTCAAACTAGCGTTTAAAAAAAAAAAGAAGCATTTAGCCTTGAGTGGAGCTGGAGCCTGCTGTCGTTACTGGTGTACAGGTGTGGTGGACAGCTTGTGAAGTTTAATTCCTGTATGAGCTACGGAGTCTGTCTTTGCTCTGTGCTGTTAGTCATCTGTGGTTAACTAACCGCTGCATTCTGAACAAGAGCGAATCATTGGGCAGATTCACACCGCAGTAACTTTTTTTTCAAGAAGCAGAACTTTTCCCCAGAACCAGCAACTTTTGTCTTATTTACACCACAGGAACTCGGCCCGATTGTAGTTCCGGAGAGGAAGTTCTGGAACCCAATTTCAGTCCCTTTTCGTTCAAACACGAATTACTGGGGTGGAGTTTGCAGCGATAGCTTGCTGATTGGTTGACCACAAGCACTGGCGCTAACTAACGCTACGATAGAAGTTACGATAGAAGTAGCTGAACTAGAGTGAGCAGATGGAATTATTTTGGTACCTCAGTTACATTTAATGCATCATCGAATACCCCTTTGCTTGCATCTCCATATTTCTGCATGAGAAAATTTGATCGATAACCAATATACTGTTGTCTAATATCTCCGGTGCTGGCGGTGAAACTTGCCAGTGTTTATTATAAGAATGATGTTACACAGTTTTTTTTTTATTCCGTGGAAATCGAAAGATTGATCTGCTGGCCTGATTTAATAATGAATTATAAACAGGTCACGCACAGGTCGTATAAATAAATTATAAATAGAAGGTTGTGTCCTGTTTTGATCGGGATCGATTCCCCCCAGTAACTAACGAACCGACTTGTTCATCCACCAAGCTCAGCCTTAGCCTGCAGTGGGTGATGTACATGCTGTAAAATGCTTGCACTCGCCTCAGAGTGATTTCCTGAAGACCGAGTTTAACGCATGGGACTTGGGGGGGTGGGGCTGGCTGTGAGCAGCCAATCAGTCAGCTCTCTGTGGTCCCGGTGTCTTGTCTTACACCCCATATCTAAAGTCACAGTGACACAAGCCTAGAATATGGCAGAGTGACAGGGGGGTTACGTCTCTTTATGCTCTCTGTGTACTACTTTCACCACTTTTTGTATTCGTGTGCAGCGTGATGTTCGACCTCATGTAAGCGCGAAGCCGAAATGGCAGATCGACCGCGGCGCGCGACCGCGAAGCCACAAGGCAGTGACAGCGTCGCTAATGGGATTCTGTGAAATGGGGTGCAGATCACCTCCAGAGCCCTGCACTTGTAAACTTTGTAAACTGTAATTTGTACAGGTGCCAGAGCTCATAAAGACCACGGCGACATCATGCACACAAATCGATCTCCAACAATGATAACACACTATTAATTATTTAAAGGCATAATAATGCAATATTTTTTTTGCAACACCTGTTAGTTACATTCTGCTCGTCGCTGCTCGGGGCTGCACCTTCAAAGAGCTGCCTATTGTACCCTAGCTGTAGGTAAATGTGTCTTTTAGTCTAATTTAAGGCAGAGAAATGGAACATTCCCAAGGTACAAACAACATTAATGTACCCCCAATGAACAAAAATGTTCCTCATTAGCGTTAGCATCCACAAACACTTCTGGCCAAACTTCTGCTGAAATATTAAAGCTTCAGTAACTAACAAGGAGTGTAGTGTTTAAAGATCCTGACTTGAAACCTAGTTCCTGTCTCTGGAGGGCACTCAACTGTAGTTTGCCTGAGTAACCTGAAAGATGCCAGCAGGGTAACCTACTGGATGTCAGCGTGTGACATGGAAAGTTACTTTGCCCCTGTTCTGACTGGGCTTCTCCTGCTTCAGGTGGACCTGATGAAAAACATCAGCGTCATTCCCCAGCCCTTCCTCTACACCCGTCACGTGCACTTCCTCAACTTCACCAGGTAACTGCCATTCACCTCCCTAACCTTTGCACCCCCACCCCGCCTCAGCGCCCCTCATCATCTGGGGAAACTCTCTCTAAAGGAGGCCTTTTCTTTCTTCCAGGTTCAGGATAGAACAGCCCGTTTATATCAACATCATAAGGGATCCAATCAACAGGTTCCTGTCCAACTATTTCTTCCGGCGTTTTGGAGACTGGAGGGGAGAGCAGAACCACCTGATCCGTACACCAGGGATGAAGGACGACGAGCGGTATCTGGTGAGCCCCCGTCCATGGATTGGCCTTTGATGTCACGTCCAGCGTCCCAAGGTGGTCTCCTAACTGCCTGCGACCATGTCACCATGTAGACAGCCAACAGATTACAAGAAGTCCCACCTCAAGCTGCGATAGCTTCTAACATCGGTGATCTTCTCTAGATGACAGGGCGTCCGGTTGCTTTGAAGTGGGAAGCGTCGTGGCCGAGGCGGCCTAGTCGAGGGAGCGTGTGATGGATTTCTCAGAGTTTAAGGCTCGATGTCAGCCGTGTGAGCTGTGAGAGCCACAATCACAGCCGGTCCCTGAGGAAAGGGGAAGCGCCGTCTGACCGAAACGGAATGCGCGGATCAGGATTTCCTCACTCCTTAATCAACGAGCCAGTCACATTGCTGCGTAGAGCACGTGCCCAGGGATGTAGAGAAAAGAGTTAGCCAACAGGGCCGGTGATGCTATTAGTGTGTGCTGCATGGTCTCACATGGCCGCGTTATGCACTGGAGTTCCGTGTTCTATCATGCAGAAGGACACGGAACCCGTCCTAGTTCTGATGCTCCATCTGGCGGCCAGTCGAGCTCCGGGGCTTTTAAGGATCGGGTGACACGTGTCGCAGTATGTATTGGTACTGTTTTCACATGTCATTTTCCAGAGGTTTGAGACAGGGGGGTGGTGGTCAGGGTGGAGGGGAAGGGGGGGGGGCACAGGTTTTCAGCAGATGGAGAAGCTCCTGCTTTAGTTCAACTGTCCCATGGCGCCAGTTTCATTTGCCCACCTTCCTAGTGCCACATGGGAAATGTGCTGTGCAAGCAACTGCAGAGGATGTACATAATTTGGATCATTGAGAAGAAAAACACATGCATTTAAATCCCCCCCCTTCCCCCCCCCCATAAGGAATTTTTCCCTTCCACCTGTGGTCGGGAGGCAAAGTCTAAGAAGGGGTGTCTGGTGCCACAGCGCATCTAAGGGAGCAGGGCCAGAACATTCCAGAATGTTCTCTACACGAGGCCAGCTCTGTCTATGTGACGCGGAGAGCGGCAGCCCCCCCCCCCCCCAGTCCGACGTACATTCAAGAAACTGCTAGCATCAGGGCAGGAAGTGACACAGAATTGTCTCGTCAGCACTTTTTGCACACAGGGAGGTGCTCTCTCATCGGCCTGTCGGATCTGCGTTCTGGGAGCTTGGGTGGCTCTCCAGGAAGTGCTTGACTGCGTTTCCTGGGCAGTCACCACGCTGAGGTGGGTGCGTTCAGCAGACATGTGGCTGTGCCGCACCCGGGGGGGCTGTCACAATGACTCGACCAACTGTGGTACGGTTTAAACGTATCAGAGGTGGGGGCCAACGCCTTTCAATGCAGTCGATGCCCTTTGGAGAAATGACTAAAACTTATTGTCTTCGTGAACTGATGACTGAGCAGTACTAGAGTAACGCGGCAGTGAGATTATCATCTGACAGGAAGTCGTATAATTCTCCCTGTTAGGCGACTTCCTGTAAATCTGATGACTTGCTCCCTGGGTGGCTTGACGCATATGGTGGTTTGGATGCCTTTATCCACACGATCTCATACCGAGAAGCCACCAACCACGCACAGATTCATGTGTGTGATGGAGACATGAAGGAAGGCCCGCAGCGACCTAGCTGGAGTCTCTGTGCTGGGAAATGCACTGTCACTGGACGGTTATGTGACCATGTGGTGGTGTTACAGTGTACTGGTATACAGAGCCCAGGGCCATCTGGCTACCTGGCTGTCACTATGGCAACCCCGAGCGGGATGATGCCAATACACATGGTGGCTCCATATCTACGTGGGATACAGTCAGAGCCAGCGTTAGGTCGTCCCGTGGCCTGGTTCAGGTGTTACATGTTCCCTCACAACATCCGGCCGTAAGACAGAGCTCCAGGAGAAGCCAGTTCTGTTTTGGTTGTGACTCCTGCCTGCCCTGGTACTGCTGGGAGCTGCGTGGGTGGACCACGAGATCTTCACCCAGTGCCTCTTAGTCTACAGTGCCAGATCAGTGGTGTGCTGGGTCCAGTGGAGAGACTAGTGAAGGAAACCAGGGAAGTTCTACAGCAGTTTTCCTAGGTTCAGGCCCTGCAGTGCCTCGCCTCCCCCACCCCCCCAGCCAGTGAGATGGGCTCGTGGTGGTGATGGTAGTGATGATGGTGATGATTATGATGGTGATAGTGGTGATGGTGATGATGGTGATGATGATGATGATGATGATAATGATGATGGTGGTTGTGATGACGATGGTGATAGAGATGGTGGTGGTGCTGGTGATGACGATGGTGATAGAGATGGTGGTGGTGCTGGTGATGATGATGGTGATGATGCACTACGGAGTGAGTTTTACCCCATCTTATGGGCAGGTAAAAAAAAAGGCAAATGCCTCCATTGTTTCTTTGTCAACTTGACCGTGGGGCCAGAAATCACTGGCTGGAGGGCAGGAATGCCGCCGTAACTCCTGGAGGAGTAAGAGAAGGTCAAGGAGCAGCAGCATTAGCTCCCCAGCAGTGACTGCGTGTGGGACGGCAGGATCTGAGAAACAGGTGAGGTGTGTCAGCGGGCAACAGCGAGGGGCCCTTCCGTTTGGGGGGGTCACAGGTTTACAGAAAGGTTGGTGTAAATCTGCGTGCTGAGCCGAATCGTGGCTCTTATTTGATTTACTTGCACAGTTGGATTGCTGTTGTTCTTTCTCAATCACAGATCCTAAAAACTTTTTTTTTCCCTCCAAACCTTCACCTTTTCCCTGGTCCTGCGAGTTGGATAATCGGCATTTAAGTGTATGGTCACATGCTGGTTCGGATGAATGAGTACATTTTCGAATTTATCGCAAAACAAAGGGGTCAGAGTAGACTTGTGGTGTCCCCAACAGCCCCCACGGTCTACATACGCATACAGGCAAGGTTACAGAAAGATTATTACAGCCTGTGTAGCCTAAGCTACAGATAGATGGTGTCATCCGCATGCTAACAAACAATGACACCACAGTGGAGCTCACTTTGGGTCCGTGTGCTTTCTGCTCTTAAGTGCTGGTATCGGCTGCGCTTTTACCGAGCCCTTGTGCTCCAACGCAAGCTTCCGCACGCCGGTCGTCTAAACTGAAGGCCTCTGGATGCCAAGGAAACCCTGTGAGGTTCTGCCACCGTAGGGGACGGAGATCTCCAAAGAGGTTAGCAGCCTCCACATGCCATTCCCAGTAGGGTAAAAGTCAGATGTTAAGACGATATCCATGCAGGATAGGGCAGAACGCCAGCATGTTAATGAATATTTACTAATGGAAAAAACAGGTCTGGAAGTAGTAATAATGTCCTTCATATTATAATATGGATACGTGAACGGCGTTAGCCGTCTGGCTGACCTCGTTAAGAAGTGCTCGGTTGGCAAGAGTGTTGTCGAGTCTGGGACGAGAAGGTCTTGAGATCCAAGCCCCTTTTTCCCAAGCTGACTGACTCCCTGCCTCGTTCCCAAACCACACACGCCATACTAGCTGCCGTTTGGCGTTCTGAGGCAGAGATGAAATCCACACTCTGCTCCTGAAAGCGGCTCTGTCACGGACCCGGCCTCAGGGATTGCTCTCCTCCGTCACACGGCGCTTCCCCGTCTCTGTGCTTGTTTCGTTCTGGTTTTTGTGGTGGCTTTGAAGCCGTTTCCAGCCATTCAGCCTGTCCGTAAACTCGGTAAACCCAAAGGCAAGAGCCGACATTGTGAACAAATGAAGCTCACTGTGGGGAAATGCCCAGGCCTTGTGTCGGCCGCAGGGAGAACAGAGGCGATGATGGTGAACTTCCACAGCCGCCGTCTCTGGTACACCGCATCTCCTAGCGACCTGCTGAAACAGGCCATCTTTATGGACCCGGAGAACCTCCGTGCTCCTGGGTTTCTACCTGCTAAGCGGGTTTTTGTTTGACGTCGGCAATCTCACGCTCCCTGTGTGTCTGTTTGGCTTTCCATTATGCCATCCACTCACCAAACGATCATTTCTGCTAACCCTACAATTTCTATGCCTTCACCTGTATACACGGTTGGTTCCTTTACCAAAGTGGATTGGTGATGTTTTTCCATCTAGTTTAATATTGTATCTTGATAAAGCTGGTCTGGTTCCTTAACCACGTCGCCCCCTGCTGTCCGGCTGCGCTATGTGCAGCAGAAGAAGTAGGTGTCACATGCTCCCGGAAGCATGCCGACATGCCCCCCCCCCCCCCGCACTCCCAGCGGCTTGGTTCTGTCACCTAATGGGTTGGCCCACCTCGGGCCGCCTGTCACCTGTGAGCTGATCAGAGCAGACAGTCGGAGGCAGGTCTTAAATCAGGGTGCACTTTCCCTCACGGGCTGTGTGAGGCCTCTGGTCACGCAAAGCAGAGTAGTTTAAAGTGGGAGGTGTGGGGGGGGGGATTTCTATAGAAAACAACTTATGCTCAAATTTCCGCTCAGGCATCTTAATGGCGCTTGTTGTGTTTATGTCTTTTTACCTTTTACATATGTGTCCTACATATTGCCTTGTGGGGGAGGTGTACGGTTCTGTGGGTAGGTCGCTGTTCCTGTGATGAGAAAGTTGCCAGCACTAATCCCACAATTGGTAGAATGATTTCACTGTCGGGCCCCACTGGGCCCCTGAGCAAGGCCCTCAAGTCCCAGTTGCTCCAGGGACCATCTGACCAGGCTTTCAATTGTACATCACTTTGGATAAAAGCTTCTGGTAAATAAAGTGATTGTGATTTTGGTGTCTAAGATGCTATTGTCAACGCACAACATACTGGAAGGACCTGATCTGTCCTCACTGGCAGTCTGTGCATACTTGTCATTTTTGTATTCACTTTTAAATGTAATTCCAAAGGCTTTTGTTTTACACAATGTGTTCATTGTCTGCCTTCGGAGGATCAGTATTTTCTAGATTTGAGATGAGTTGATTTTTTATGTGTCACAAACATCCCTGGGGGGAAATAAACTATGTGCACCTGCAGTGATCAGAAAGCAAAAATGTTCTGATTCTAGCCACTGCGGTTCACATGCAGTGGTTTGCTGGATGAGTCGTTGCTCGGTCACAGCCTCTTGAAAGCAGCGTTTCCCCAACGCAGAAGGAAATTCTTTCACAGTGCAATCAAGGTTCAGTTCCATCACGGACCGCTCGCATTATGCAGTCATGCAGTGAGAACGGGCGAGATGTCACACTGCACGCTTGGTAGGATTCTCACCCCGTCAGCTTGACCTTTACTGGCTTTTTGACGGGGTACACGGCTACTTTTAAGGAAGCATGGTGTCAGACCTAACGAATTCTACACATTAGAGTCTGCTGCTCTTATTTAATCTGCCAGGATGTGGTTTCAAGCTGAAAGGCTCACTTTCAGAAACTTACCCAGACTTAGGTTTTGCGGGCCCATCTGGGAAAACTATGGGGAAGGTCTGCCTCCTAGTGATGGGAGCCTGCAATTACATACATGTCAGATTTGGTTAAATAAATTCAATCCAGCATCCTTGGTGACGTTTTTATCTGGGCAACTGACTTCAGGATCGTGCGTTATTTCAGTTTTAAAACTTGTCACTTTGGAACAAGAGGTGTTTAGTTTGGTCACTTTTCTGTATGTACTGCATATTCCAACTGTATTAATCGTGACGGATCCCTTCACATCACCAGCTCGCTTTTAGTTTTGTAAATAATTAATGCAAAATTGGCGAGTGGATGATTCTCTAAAAGGTCCCACAGAACTCAGCCCTCAGAGGTCTGAGCTCTGGCCGGTGTTGCTGTCGGTGGTTCTGCTGCGTTCAGGTGTGTCGGTGCCCCCCTGCCCCTTAGCCGCTATCTGCCAGAGCCTAAGTGAGAGACGCCCCCCCCCCCTCCATCATCTGCATTTGTTTTGGTTTGTTACTCTCACATTCTCTCTAAGCAGTGTCCAGTGTGTGTTTTGGGCTGATGGTCTCACCGCCCCCCCCCCCCGCTCCCCAGGACATTAACGTCTGCATCCTGGAGAGCTACCCTGAGTGCTCAAACCCCCGGTTGTTCTACATCATCCCCTATTTCTGCGGCCAGCACCCCCAGTGCAGGTGAGTCTGCCCCTCCCAGTGACCATAGTGGGCATAGAACTGACACAGTCCTGAGCACCCGTTCACTACTTCTCCAGTTGTGCAGTGCTCATGCCCCTCTTTGCCGTGTCATACATAACTTGTAGAACTTTCTGTAGAACTTTTGTGTAATTTGGGGGGAGGCTATATGTGTCTATGGTGAGAGAGCAGTGCTGTAAGGCTGCTGGCCCATCCTCTCCTGTCGTCATGGGAACAGGGAGCCCGGACTCTGGGCTCTGGAGCGGGCCAAACAGAACGTGCTGGAGAACTTCTTGCTGGTGGGGGTGCTGGAGGAGCTGGAGGACACGTTGCTGCTGCTGGAGCGACTCCTGCCTCACTACTTCTCCGGGGTTCTGAGCATCTATAAAAGCCCAGGTAACTCTGCTGTTATTGGCTGTGGTCATGGCCCCGCCTACTACTGGCTTAGTCCCGCCTCTTGTTGCTTGGCCCTATTTATTTTACTGTTGTGCTGAGCATCTACCAAAGGAAATGTAGCCCATACTCTCACCATAGCTATATAAAAGCATTTCCTTCCTCTAGCACTGGACCTGCAACATTCTGGCACCGAAATCTATTAATAAAAGCTATAAATACTATATTTTGGTTTAATCACCTGCTACCATCAGACGTATATTACATAATGACAGGTGCTGTCTGGTTCAATACACTTCCCAATGGACAAACTTAACTGTGATTGTCAGCACACTGTAAATCTTGTCTTTATTGACTATCAATAGCGCTCCCACTCCAGGCCAGCAATTGGCGCTGTTGTCACTGAGCAAGAATTGTAGGTTTGGCATTTTGTCAGTTCATGTGAATTATGAGATGAGACTTTCCTGGACCCCCCCGGCCTTACATAATGGCTGAGGCGGATAGGGTGACCCTGGGCGGCTAAGAAGTAGGTCAGGCTGTGAGCACTCTCCCTCTCTGCTGCCTGTACTCCACAGTTTTATTGAAGCCACATGGATTGTGTCGTTATGGCAACTTTTTTTTTGGAACAATGCCGTTTCCCTGCATCGAGCTTCTGAAGTCATGGCACACGTGTGTCAAGTCTGTGTTGTGCTTGGTGCTGTTCGGTCGTCGCCTAGCAACTCTGTTTTTTTGCCCTTTAGAGGACATTATGATACTCAGTCTGGGATGTGGGTCTTATTCCCGGGTCCATCTAAACGATGGGATGTTGTGCAACAATAGTGTTAGATCAGCAAGGGCAGGCAGGAAGATCTTGCAGAAACTAACTGCATGTGTGCCAGTGACATGTTTGTAACGTCACAGGTGTGTTTTATGTGGAATTTTCTTCCTGGCCCAGATTACAGGAAGATCGGCAATTTGACGGGTACGGTACGGAAGCAGCCCCCGACCCTGGAGGCGCTGCAGGTGCTGTACCAGCGCATGAAGTACGAGTACGACTTCTACAACTTCATCCGGGAGCAGTTCCACCTGCTGAAGAAGAAGATCGGCCTCCGGTCGGCCGCGCCGCCCACAATCCCGCACAGCTTCAAGACCCCGGAGCCCATGGAAGTGGACCAGGAGGAGGAGCCAGACCAGGAGGAGGAGCCAGACCAGGAGGAGGAGCCAGACCAGGAGGAGGAGCCAGACCAGGAGGAGGAGCTGGAGGATGCCAGCTTGTGGTTGGTGCATCCATGAGCGTTGCCGTGGAGAAGGGATTACGGCGTCCAGCCAGGTCAAACGTGGAACCGAGATCCCATTGGAACAATGCAGAAACGGGCAGCCCTTCCTCGTGGAACGGTGAGGTTCCTTTCCAAGTAACGTGAGGTCCTCGTTATTCCGAAGCCGCCGCGAGCGTTCGTGGCGTGGCAGTCCGTCGTCGGTCCGATTCCGGAAAAGCGATGCCGTCAAAAGCAGCCACTTCTAAAGGGATTCAGCTGTGGTGCTCGAAGTCCACCTGACAGCAGCACCAGACCCCAAGAAACCTGTTGGGGGTTCTGTCCTCTACAGCTGGATACCCACTCCCCCCCCCACATTCACAGACCAACCTTTTCCCCCATGAGATCAAGCTTCCATCAGCTGGTTCTCCAGCAAACCGCCTTTGTTCTGCGTCCCACCCTGTGGCTTTTCTGGTCATTGTCACTCCAGCAGTTACCCCATAATATAAAGCTATATGGGGCTACACCCTCGGGCATGTGCTGATGGAAGTGCTGACTCAGTGGCACTGAAGCAGTAAAGATCTGAGCTGCAGGTCGAGATGACTGAGCTGATTCTGAGCGGAGCTGTGAAAAATCAAACTAGGAACGGAGCTTCCTATGAACGTGCAGTGCGCCCAGTGAAAGGCAAATGGACCCAGTCATTAACTTCACATCTTCTACCAGTGGAGTAAGGATCTAAGTCCAGTGTAAATGATCTGCTCTGGGTTTGCCCTGAATACACTGAGGGAGATACAGTGAATCCAAGCACGACCTTAGCTGCAAAGGGTGCATAAAAAGTATGTGGGGGGCGTCATTCTCTTTGAATGTTTTCTCTCTCTTAATTTGAGATTTGCTTTAAACGGGTCATTAAATCGAGGTTAGCATCCTTTTTTTTGCCATGTTAGGTGAATCTACTCCTCGGTTAACCCGATCCACTTGGCCTTGCTCACTGGGGTCAGCATATACCCCCACCCCGACATCCGAAGCCAAGCATAAACAGTGGTGCACTCTGATTGGCCAGTATAGCCTGCCATGTGACCGGACGTGGTCACGTGATACGTGTCATCCTGCCACAAATAATCCTGCCCCACTGTACCGAAGTTTAACATACAACCTACTTGTATTTAAGAAATGGACTGTGTTGCAGAGCTACATTTTAATTTATTTTTGCATTCCAGATATAATTCTCAGGAAAAAATGCTTGTTTTTTTAAGAAAAGAAAGGGAGTCCGCTTTGGAATTTTTAGATCTAACTGCACTTGCCAGTAACTAGAGTCTATGGGATTTTAGTCTTCGAATTAAACTTCACTGCTTAAAGTCCTGATTCTGTGGGGCAACTGCAGAATTAGTTGTCATTTAATGGAAACCCCCACCGTCGTGGAATGCTTTCAAAATAAAAGTTTCCTAACAGCTTTTTATAATTATTCCTTTTCTAAGGAACTTGCTTCTCATTCATTTTCTTGTCAACTTGTTTTCTGTTCCATGGTGAAAAAGAGTATTTGAAATATTTTTGTTGTGAAACTATTTGATTTGACCCTTATGCAGTGTATCACTTTAAGGCAGGGGTCACCAACCTTTTTGAAACTGAGAGCTACTTCACGGGTACTGAGCCATACGAAGGGCTACCAGTTTGAAACGCCCCCCCCTAAACTTATCTAAACTATATGTATAATAAACGTTTTAAATGCTTTTTTAAAAAAATATTGTCATTTTCAAATCTATATAAATGCAAATGTGATTAAAGAAGAATAGCAACAGGATAAAATTCAATTTTAGACGCTGCTCACTGGTGAGTTGTGCTATTTTTAGAACAGGTCCGCGGGCGACTCATGTGGTCCTTGGGGGCATCCTGGTGCCCGCGGGCACCATGTTGGTGACCCCTGCTTTAAAGTAATTAGCTGCTGCTATGTGTTGGTCAGTGGTATCATCATATGCATTCAATTTGTGTGCGTACGTCCATACAATAGATGACGCACTCCTCTGGATTGTTACATTTTGATTGGTTCACCTTTTCACCACCATCCCCCCCGTGTTCATACCATGAGGGTGGTCAGCTGGCACCAAGCCTTATGACTCCATTGGCTTTTTAAAATCCAAAGCAAGTAATCTTTTATCTTTTTTTTTTTTTTTTTCACAGCTGGCCTTTAGTAACCTGTATTGCTGGCACCAAACACTTTTGGGTTGTAAGTCATTGTCCTCCTACAACACCCACCATTAATCTCCACCAACAGCAGCCAGAATCCTACAAATCCAGTTCTGGCCAGTTGATCGTAGAGCTGCCTACTCTTATAAATTCTTCCGCCTTGAGAACAATCTTTGACATCGGAGGAATTATCATTGACAGGGCTGACACATTTTAACTGGGAGACCCGACGGCCCCTGTCTCAGAAACAGGACCCCGGTCGTCCACACCACTGCCTGTCTGAAGAGGAAACGGGGAGATCTGTGCTTTTCATGTTCAGAAATGACTGTTTGTAGGTTCGTCTGGGCAGCAGGTGTTAAAGTGCAGCCTGTGCGTCTCTGAGCATCTATGACGCGGTGATTCGTGTTTCAAACCTTTCAAAACGTGCAGCGGGGCTCTCATACATCGGCCCTTCAACTTTTCAGTAGCTGGGCAACCGAAACGTCTCCTGGGCAGCTTGTGGGCCAACGGTTGAGGCAGGAGAGTTTCCCTTTACCATCACGGTTTATCCCCCCATCTGGCCCATCGCCCTGGGCTATCAATAACCTGGAGAGGGGGGGGGGGGGGGGGGGGGGGGGGCCGTTGTTTCCCCCCCCCCCCCCCCCCCCCCCCCCTAACCAAAACTGCCATGCCTTTCCTGCTGTGACCCTTCTCCTCTTTCCACCTTCATCTCCAGCGTCCACATCGCTTTGTTCTTTCTGTTACTTTGGCAGTTGCCCTCATTCTGACCCTTAGGTCGCTTCAGGTTGACCCTGTCCGTACATGTGGCCTCTGCTGAAATCCATCCAGACGCCTTTACAGCAGATTCGGGCTCCGTAGTCGAATGCGGTCATAGGTCACCCTGCTTATTGCCGCAAACTTCACCTGTTAGTTTACCAAGGATATTGTGTCAGTGAATCTGGCCTGGGAGGGGGGGGGTGGGGGGGTGCTGACAAAAACACCCCATAGAAAATGCCTGTGGGCCTGAGTGAGGCTCCCTGTTGGTGGCAGCTTAGAGAAACCTGACGTGGTGCAGTGATAGGGAAGCCACCTGGAGACCTTCTCACCAAGGAGGCTGATCTCCCAGTGCCAGGACCTTCTGCTGCCGCTTCCGGCGTGAGAAAGTGTCAGCTGAGGTACAAAATGGGTCAAGGCCTTTGCCCCAGCCGCTTAACGTATCAGTGCCTCGCTAGGCCACGGTCCCGTAATCTACACACCCCAAGGAAGCCGGTCTTTAATGGGTTTCCAAGGAAGAAATGGCAGGTGTGGTGTGTTGTTTCGTTGTTGCCATTTGAAGGTGGGAGTGAAAGCGTTGGGGTGAGGTCTGGGTCTGCTCCAGCGGTGCCGTCTCCATTCCAGGTGAACGGGTGTAACATCACAAGAAAGGATCCTATTTATTCCACCTGATGGACACTGATGTCCGCAAGGAGATCCCATACAGAGGAGAGGGCCGTCTATGGCGGAAGAGGCCGGCTTCTTCAAGCGTCTGTTCGTTCTACATATATACATAGTAACCTCCATTTTCATTCATACCCCTGTAGCCAATCTTTTGTCTTACATCAATTTACAGCACTTTCTGGCGGGATTTTGTTCAGGCAGAATGTTGCCACCAATGTCTTTGATCTCTGTTTAGAACCGAAGAGATCCATGAACAAACAAGTTCAAGGTCTGGGCTGCGAGATAAGATTTTAACTCTGAGCTATTAGTTTAGTTCTCCCCAAACGAGCTTGATGGGCCGAATGGCCTCCTCCCGTTTGTAAATTTCTAATGTTCTAGTGCTGATTCTGTGGTTGATCAATTATATCTTAGCTAATCCTGCTTTATATGTAGGACCAATGTCTGGCAGGCAAGACGTCTCCGGCTGTTTTGTCAGTTTTCCAGTGTGTGGCTGTGGTTGGTACTTGGACTTTGTGATTCCACCCGTTACCAAGGATGCGAAACAGCTTCACAGAGTCCTGTTCCAAAAAACCATTCATGCATCTCCCGGCCCCTTATCCCAGACAGGCTTTCTCCTCGCTGATGCCATCGTACACAGCACTGTGCAAAAGCCTTAGGAAGTCAAACAAAATGCTTGATTGGTCTGCATGTTGGTGTGATGCTGTGCTCGCGTAGCCATTTCAAAACCCTGGTATTTGCAGCAACCATCCAAAGCGCATCCAATATTTTTTGACTTGACCACAAGCATTCTTAATATGGCAAATGGATGCCTTATTGACTGTTTTACACTGATTAAATGTGTAAGTAAGTAAGTATGTAAGCTGCTTGTGAAATGTATCAAATGCTGGGATGCCGGTGAGGACAGGTTAGGGAGCTGAAGCGATGTACATCCAGCCATCCAGAAAATATCAGTAACTTTCTGAAGAACAGAAGAAATTCCTGTTAGAATATATAATAACAAAAAAACTAATGTTAAATTGTTTGTTTTTGTTCTGAGCACATACACACTTACTACCCAGATAAATAGCTTTAAACATTTCCCTTGACTGTCTAAGACTTTTGCCCAGTGCTGAATTTCTCCCGCTCGTAATGTTTTTTGAGAGTTCGATCATGTAAATGGAGGGAAAAATTAATATAGAACAAAGTTAGGTGTATATATGTTTAGAGAAATCAGTGTGTGTATATATAGATTTACATATGTGATTGTGTTCATGAATAATTCTGAGCACAGAGATCCGTGCTCAGGGATCCACGTTGATCCGCTCAAGCTGAAGCTGGCGGCAGGCTGGTTAAAACCTGGTACAGAGTGGACTTTGCTATCGATCTTGTCTCATCCTTAGATTCCTTGAAAAAGTATGCCGTTCGCTGCTTGACAGCCTGTGCACTGTTTAGAAAGTTCTCCTGAAACACGTAGTACCAGCGCAGCCAGGATAAAGCAAAATGAATCTGAAATTACACAAGGGAGATTTGAGCCTGCATTGACTTTGGCACAATCTCTTCTCTTTCTGCCAGATCCTTTCACAACGTCCACTGCCCAGTGTCCTCCATTCTAAGACCTTCTCCAGCAAAAACAGTGGCTCATTTAAGCAGTTTTCCAGTAAATTGTCCATTAAGGCATAACTTTTCTTGTCCATCTTTTTCCCATGAATGCTTGATCTGATTAGATATCTTGTTGGCTCTGAACATTTATGTGAGCTTAATGTCTAAGTATGGTATGTGAAACGTTCGGCTCTTTGTTAAATCAACTGGAAAATGCATATAGTGTCACTGTTGGTCATTAAGCACAGGGATCCCACAGTAAAAGACAAAGCTTTGGAAATTACAAATATGACTGTATTATTAAACTACCATCGAGCCCAGGACCTGTCAGCATTAATTGTCTGATATTCTACAAGTATGAGCTTGCATTTTTTTTTTGGCAGGTAGTTTCATATAACACCAGAAAAGGATTTAAATAGATTACATGTTTTAATTTGAACTCTTACTAAAAGAAATCATTACAGTATTCAAAGAAGTCAAAGCGATAAATATACAGTTCAAGTGAGGAACCTGACAATCTCAAAAGTATGTCTGTTTTAAAATAAGAGTTAATTATGGGTATGTTTGTGAACTAGAGGTTCAGCTCAAGTTACCCTTGGCTCCAGAAGCATCTTGGTCCAAAACATCAATGTCCTAAAAAATTGAAGGGAGATCTTAAAACATTCACGTCCTGGATACTGTTTTGTGATGTGTTGCAATGTACATTGATTACAGGCGTGTAACAAAGAAACACCTCACACTGGTGTGGTAGGAGGGGGTACTTTTTGGCACAAAAAAGCCCCCAAAGCATGTTTAAGAACTAAATGCTATAAAATATGGCACCTTAAAAAACTCATTGGCATCCACTGTATTGGTAAACTTATGATACCAGCAAATCGAGTATTTGAAACTGATACCCTGAGAAATTAGTATAGAAAATACAGATTTATAGATAGAATAGAAAGAAACTCAGCAGACGGCGGCAATAAATTATGCGGCTAATATTTACACAGAGCTAGTGAATGGAACCTGGAAGTAACCTATTAACTATGGCTTAGCACCGCTGCAAAGACGGGGGCTGAGCTGGGGTTCAGAACCGGGGCAGCGTTTTTCAAACCGGCCAGTCCCCATATTTGTTACCTTCTGTCAGCATCACTGTTCACCACCTGCACACTGGATACTTCTAGTCAGAGCACTTCTAGGATTTTTTTAAGGTGTGGGGGCATACGAGCAGCCATAATTCATACAGTGAGGCCAACCTTATCATTAGCCAATGATATGCTTTGAATTGGTGAGTGACAGTGGAGGAGGCACTCTGGGAGCCAATCAGCTTTCAGCTGAGGCTGATGTCCCTTTGGCCCCGCCCCTGTATATGACCCTGCTTCCAGTCCACTTAACTACCAAGCGTATTTTGATTGTTATGCTCCGGTGTGAACATGGGAGGCATCGGACAGGTCCCTCGGGGCAGTTTGGAAAGCTAGGGGTCTGATGCACACTCTCACAGCACACACAGAGTAAGCAACACAAACACAAACACACACACACACGCGCACACACACACACACTCAGTCTCCTACCCTTATTTGCAAGCTCGAACACCTTAATATCCCCGATTCAGCAACCCTTACATCAAAGCAAAAATGCCGTCCTGGATCTTCCTGTCTTTGATGATGTCAAAGGGAGCAGGAAACCCAAACGTGGCCCAAAAATTTTGACATTAACAGGGAATCCTCTGAACAGTCATGTTCCTTTTGGTCTTACCTATGTGAAGAACTGCACTGCTATTCAATAAAAACCCTGGAAACTGAATTTTTGAATGTTGAACAGATACGTGACAGGAGTCTTCATAAACGAGTGGTTTGATTTGTGCTAGTGTCCACACAAGGGGAACGTAGTGAGGGCTCATCGGCGCCCCCCCAGTGAGGCTGTCGGGTGTTTTCACTGCCCTGAGGGGTCGGGGGCACCTGTTCCGCAGCCACTCGAGTTGCCCCACTGTTTCTAATCACCTGTTGCCTCCTATCACACACTCACAAGTCCGTCGGCCTTGGCATCCAGCGGGGCTCTGTGGCGCATTTCCTGCGCCTGCTGCTGCGGCGGCTTCTTGGCGGGCGTGGAGGCCAAGGCCTCTGCTTCCTCCAGCGTGGACGTCAGGGGCTTGCCGAGGGTTTCGGGCAGCAGCAGCGTCAGCACGCCGATGGCGAAAGCCAGGATGCCAACTATGAGCTGGGGTGAGAGGACAACTTCTAGCAAACGCTGCTGGGGGGCTCAAGAAACCCGACAATACTGTGCTCATTGGTAACCCCCCCCCCAGCAGGAAGTCAACATGCGTCATGCGGGGGTCCTGCTCCATCTGGCATGCCTGGCATTTTGCTGGTGGGCTGATGGATTTTTGCCCAGAAAAATTTACTGTGGTGGACTCCCATCCCCCTATCAGGACCCCAAAGTCCACAGGGCCCAGTCTAGCCCTGCATTCCATCCACTCAACTATCCATCTTCCAACTGTGCTCAGGATCACGGAGAAGTTTCCCATTAACTTCAGCTGTCCTTCTTTATTGTATCCCACAGGGAAGACTTTAAGAAATGCTAGTTAGAATGGATAGATATTTCAAGAAAAAAAATCCTCTCTCAAGTTCCCCACTTGAAGGACACATGACATTAAGGGGGACGTGACCCCACATGGTACTGGTTGCCTATAGTCAGCTTCCACCAAAACTGTTATTTCAATTTTACGAATGGGGCCCCAAACAGCCCTCCCTGTGCAGTTCCTCAGGACCATGTGACCCAGAGCAGCCCTCCCTGTGCAGTTCCTCAGGACCATGTGACCCAGAGCAGCCCTACCTGTGGCAGGTGAACCCAGACGTCAGACAGGTAAACGCAGAAGGGGGCCACAACGCTGCCGACACGACACATCATGCTCCCGCTGCCCACGGCCAGGGACCTTCAAGGGATACAGGGAGTGTAGCATCATCATCATCATCATTACATCGTCCAGAAAACAGCATCAGAGTATTTTTGTGATCCGTTTTGGGCGACTTCTGTGTCTCTGTGACAGAGTTGCAGGCAAAAGTTCAAATAAAGAGCAGCATAGAAAATAACAAGTGGGTCTGATCACTCTGTAATTTATGAATGAAGCTACAAACTACTAGTTACAAAGGGTTTTCAACAAATGATCTTAAGTACGAGATAACTAACGACTTAGTATCACAAAATTTTAGGGAAATTTACTTAGATTTACCTAAATTTATCTAATGAAAATCTGTTACATTTTGTTGAGTTATTACATAATGTGGAGTTATTACATAATGCATTGTTACAGGGGAGTCACACACATCACCAGTACCCTTTTGGGACTGGAGGAGGATGTCCCCAGGTTTTCACCCAGTTCAGTAAGCCCAGGTTACATTACCATGATACAAACAGCAGAAAAATGCTCCTGTAACTCAACAAGGGGAGTACCGTGCTAACAATGCAGTGGTTGTGGGTTCAAATCCCAGGGAGCACACCTAAACTGTAAGCCTTCACTGTACTGTAAGATGCTTTGGATGACAGCATCAGGTAAATGGACGACGCATATAATTGACCCTCTGGACTGACAAACCTTATGATGGTTGGGTAGAGCTCACAGGTGTAGAGATATATCAGCCCAAAGGCAATCGCGATGGCAAACTTTCCCATCATGCTTAGGATAATAGTGAGTACTTCAAAGTCCTTGGAGAGGAGAAAGAGATAACATATGGAGACTTGACAGATCAATGCCACGGACAAAGACTCCATCCCCTCCCCATTTACGCCACTGAACCATGACCTGTTTACTCCACGTCACCCGATAACGGAAATCGCACAGTGTGACTTTCCTTCTCTGTACGGCGCTGTTTCTCAAACCGGTAACTGGGGGCCGGAAGGGAGCAAAAACATGAACCGTCTGTGGGTTCCCAAGGACTACGTTGAGAAACACTTCTGTAAGGAAGCGAGTTCCTTGTGGGTCAGTCTGGGCCTGTAAAGCTGAAGGAGACACGCGCCGTAACAGCTACTCGGTACGCAATATGGAGCTCGCAGTATGTGAGCCCCCCCCCCCCCCCCCACATCGGATCTGTCATGTACAAACCCTGGAGGGCTGGTCTACCGTCAGCTGCTGTCAAGTGAATCAATCATCCCTTGGAGACAATTCAGCCGGGTGGTCAGCTGAGAATTCACTGGAAGCTCAGCTTAGTCACACTTAGCCTGGCTGGCTCCTCGACAGCTGTAATGTACCATCTGCCTCACTTGTACACCACTGTCTATTAGAAAATGTAAATATAAATGTAACGTTAGTTAAGCTGAGCTATTACCATCATTTAGGCCCAAAGCTGAGAAACCATTAGCCTGCATGAGGTCATATTTCCCTCATTCTGGGCTATTTTCTCCTATTTACATTAAAGGCTGTGTTACAGCACTTGTAGGTTCTTTCATCATTATATCCCCCCACCCAGTGAGATAAGTTCTGTCTCAGACTACAGCCATACTGCTTTCATTTAACAATGGACTTTTCAAACAATCTCCATCCACACAGTCATTTTCATGTTGTTTACGAAAGTATTTCCATACGCGCTGAAATGAACAAAAAAACTAATTTGAGCTATTAGCTTACAGTGGGTAGGCACATATCGATGAAATCAAGAAAAGCAAAGTGTTGCATAAGCCTGTGTCATTCATTCGTGACGTCCGCGTAGGGTGACCAGGTGACCAATCAAATCAAGGATCAAAGGGATCATATCAGAGAAGGGCCATGTAATGAGTAGGGACCAATCAGGGCGGCTCAAAAGTCTCCATTTTCACTCATGCACACTGCAACGTTAAAACAGTTTTCAGAAGTGTACAGCTCCGAAGAGCATTTTCAAAAGCCGTTTTTGGGGGCTTTTGAAGGAAAGGCAGAAATGGAGACAGACATCTGCTTTATCATAGCAGTGTAGATGTAGCCTCCATCTCCACTATCACCAGTGATGTCACGCCTACCAGCCGACATGTGATTCTTGTCCTCATCAAATGTACCTCAGTTCTACAAGAAATGCCCTAAACTTTGACCAGAGGAAGCAACACGACCCCCACCCCTGCCAACTTGTGAACTGAGAGAGTACTTTTTAATGACATCACTGGGAATGCCCAAGCTGTTGAACCACACAACTGGCGGCTCTTGGCCAGCAGCCACTGCTGACAGTGCTGACAGTCAAGTTGACAGAAGGTGATGTAGGTACCAAGGAGGAATCCTCCCATTGAAACTTCGAGAAAGGCGGGTATACCTTGGGCACCGCAATGATGAGCATGCATGCGGCGCCGCTCAACAGCAGGGATGGGGCACACGTCCTCTTTCTGCCAACCTTGTCCATGGCAAAGCAGCCTACCAAGTAGGACGGGAGCTCAACAGCACCTGGAATCAATCGACAATACAAGGTCATCCCCCTGGGAGGATGCCACGTTGCCCTAACAGGATCTGGCAACCCAACCGCCAAGATACCCAACAGCTGTGGCAGCTGGGAAATAATGGCTACTCCGGAGGCTGGAACTGTTTAATTTGTGTTCTTTGATGCTCAGTTTTATCCCAAAATGTATATTATTATAGAGTTTAATGTTGCTAAAATTTCAACTCAGAGAAATAGTTTTCATTCCTGAGTGTAATTAAATAGTTCTAAAGTTGTGGTGGTGAAGCTCGGCTGAGCGCTACACTGCACCAGTGCTCCCAGTACTGCCAGCTCATTGTGCTGCCTGTATTTGCCCTGCCAAGATGACGACCATTGATCAGGACGGTCTGTCACCAGAAATGCCAAAAGTATCTCGTACCAGGCCTGTGGGCTGCTTCGCTAACCTTAAATCATTATCTCATTAGAGCCGCCCCATGAATCACTATTTGCACCATCAGCGGCCAGCGGGGGGGGGGGGGGGGACTCATCTCCTCCTGTTGAACACAACTGATTAACCCCAAGAAACCAGTGGAACAACATAAAGACCGTGCCTGGGTCTCTGAACAGCAAACAGCAGCGAACCCTCATGAGTAGGGAGTTACATATGATTTGTTTAGCTTACGCCTTTGAGAAAGAGGAGGTTCCATGCTTCTTCTAGAAGGGTCTCATTATCTGAGCAGCACAGGAATACCACCAAACAGTTCTGTCCCGATGAGCTTTTAAAATATGCCTGTGTACATTCCTTCCACAACCCAAAAATTTAACAAGCAGTTATTTACTTTTTCCAATATCTTGTTAGTAGTTTTTGAAAAATAAAATACAAAGCGCATGTCATCTTCTTAGGAAGGTTATTAGAAACGAGACCTAGTCAAGTATTGGCTATAATGTTCTGGAGCTGAAAGGTCCCTCAGGAATTCGTCTCACCTGCCAGGAAGAGGTTGACATACTGGTTTCCCCCCAGGTTGACGGAGTTCAGGGAGAAGACGTAGTAGCCCAGGCTACCGATGAACCACACGGCCCAGACCGTGAGGGTCCTGCCCGCCATCCTCCAGCTACAGAACAGGTCCAGAATGCTGAGCTTCCTCTCCGTCTTCCCATTTGAGGCCTTGCCCTCCCCGTCCAGAAGGATGGCCGCGTCGGGCTCCATCAAGTCCGACACCATGACGGGGTTGGAGGCGCCGTTGTAGTAAGCCATCTGGTCCAGCAGTTCCTGCGCCTCCTTAAGCCGGCCCTTGGCCAGCAGGTAGAAGGGAGTCTCGGGGAGCTTCCAGCAGACCAGGATGAAGGGGATGGTGCTCAGGGACAGGACGACCTGGTACAGCCACCACACCCTGATGAGGTGACCCACCAGCGCCACCACCATGACGCCCACGGCAAAGGCGGCGTGCACGTGCATGGAGGTCCACGTGCGCACCTTGATCCCCGTGAACTCCGTCACGTAGACAAACACCACCACCAGGTACCCGCTTGAGACCTGCCAGTGGAATACATGCTTCAGTCCCAAGTACCCCCCCCCCCCACACAGGTCTCTATGGGCATTCGGCCAGCTTTTGCTTTCTGCACAGCAAAGATATCTTACCCCCAGAGGCATGCGTCAATCCCCATTGGCCCCCACCCTCTGTGATACACGGCTTGCGTTTTCCCCCGCTGGGACTTTGGACACGTGTAAAAAGCCCTTTTAGTGTGACTGCCTCTCCTTGTATCCTGTCCTATTGCCCCAATAATACCCCTAATACCCCAGCATCCCGGACACCACATGAACCCAAAGCTGTCTCTGGTTTCCACGTGAGGCTGACGCAAGGCTGGGTGCCAGCTACACACGTTTATCTACAGCTCATGCTGAGCCGGCCCTTCTTAGACCTCTACCCACTTATTTGGCCGGTTGGCTGAAACTCAACCATTTATCCCCCTAAATTACAACCTTTTTTTTGCCATATTATTAAGTCAACGTCCAGAGCTCAGCAGAATGACCGTGCCGATGTTTTGGCATTGAATTTCTTAAATCTCTAATGGGCAGTGCCACTGATCTGTTTACTGTTTACATCTTGACCTCTATTGCCCTCCTCATACAAGCTGCACTACTGCCTGGGGGTGGCGCTGTGCCCTTCACATCTGCGGAAACAGTAACAGTAACACTGAAGTGGTCGCAGGATGAGAAGCCATTGGATTCATGCACAGGAGCTGAGTGAGATTAAACCTTAACATCACGCCGTGACAGAGCCAGTGCGGCCGGACAAACAGCCCCTTCACTGCCAGTGCCACAGTGTCACCCTGTCCTTACTGTAAACGAGGCTTTCAGTCAATATATGACGATTCTTTGGGAGAGAGTTGTGGGTTCTGATCCCATAATCTGCTACTGTGATTTCAGCCAGACTGAAAACAAACCCACAGGCCATCACCCTGTCTGAAGAATGACGCAAAGGAGGAGGATGAGGAGAAGCTGCGGTGTCCCACTCACCATAGCCAGCAGGAATCGAATCACGACGAAGGTGTAGTAGTCACCCGTAAATGCCACGCAGACGCCGAAGGCGAATTGGCACAGGCTGGTCAGCATCAGGATTGGCCGCCGCCCAAGCCTGGCAGGAGGATAAAAAAAGACAAGAAAACATTTCGGTCACTGTCTGTCCTCTCAAAAGGGCACCTGATACTCACCGCTGTGAGCTAACGTTGGATAAGCAGAATTATCCATGGAAAAAACACAAGCTTCTCCTTTAAACGGCCCCTTTGGAAAGCAAATCTGTGTCAGCAGCGGATACGCAAGTAAATATTCAGTTTCAGCTGCGGTTGGGTTATGAAGGACTACGCTACCCCACGGGTGCTCCCATGACTAGTTAATGCACGACCGGTAGGCTAACTCACCTGCTATACGTTAACACACGACATGTAATTACAATACCGTGAGAGCGCAGAATTTTATCTGCAACCATAAGAAAAAATCCTTAAGGAAGAAAATGATCAATAAACGTTTAACAAACATCTTTCCGCCCAAAGTTGCATTCAGTTTTTAATTAGTCTATTTATATTCAAGTATTTTGCCTGACAATTGGCTCATGGGGCGCAACTGCTGAAAAAAAGATCTTTAGTAATTACCTTTTTAAAAAGTGTGATTGAGAACAGCACTTTAGGAACTGAATCCATGAACGAAAAAAACAACGCAGCCATCTATGTAAAACGCGAGCTGAGCAAAAGTGAATGTTACACTAAAACAACAATCTGTAACAACACCGGTGGGGAAACGTGAGGAGGAGATCGGATAAAAATCTGTTACACGGCATGACGGACAGACACGGCTGCCGGGCTAAAATTGTTCACTGACAAATCTGATTGAAAAACACCAACGGTTCAAAGGATAAACACCGCACAACTGCCACAAGAAATATTCATCTAAGAATCTGTCTGAGCTTGGCCTCGGTGTGCCAATAAATAATCATCACCATCATCCTCTTTTTACTAACAGTGACTAAACGTGCTTAGCATTTTTGCCTCACACCTTCACGGTTGTGGGTTCGAATCCCTCATCTATGACGGTGCACCCAAGCTTTCTGCCCTGTGGGATAGGATCCAGACCAGGGATGTGCTAAGGATCTGGGGTGCCTGTGTGTCTGCCGCTTTAGCCCGAACGATTTAACGAGGTGTACACCCCCCTCCAGTCGAGAACCTTTACCTTCGAGAAGAAGGATGGATATTTTTCACTACAATAATCTCCCCCTGTAATAAATAATCAATACATCTTATATCTTAAGCAACTGCATAATGACACAAACAATAAAGCGCATTATTATTATTGTTATTGTTGTTGTTGTTGTTAATGTAGATAAATATAGTGGCTGCATTAATTAACTGTCGTTTAACTGTCGAAACCATGCACTCGCCACTCTGCAGGGATTCGGGTCCGGCTGTCTAGCCTGACCTGTCGGCTATGTCCCCGAAGACGACCGCGCCGATCAGCACCCCCAGCATGAAAGTGGGCTGGCAGAACTTGGCCAGCCACTCCTTCTCGCACACCAGGTCCCAGTCCGTCACGATGCTCTGCTGGATCTCGCTCAGGTCATAGCTGAACCTCCCGGCGCACGACTGCATGCTCTTGTTGCCGGCAAAGTGATAGGTGAAATCGGTGGGGTTGATCCTCAGCGCCCTCCTGCACTGGCTCAGCTCCCACTGCTCCCCGGCGGCTGTCCGCACCACGACGGGGCCGGAGCCCGGAGCGAAGTGGCGCCAGATGTCCGCAAGGGCTCCGGCGCTGTGGTTCTCGAACAGCACCCCGGTGACATTGTCCGGGGCGCCGCAGAGGAACTTCGGCGTAACCACCAGAAACACCGAGGCCAGGTAGTGGATCCCGCAGGCGACAGCCTGGAAGACAGCGGCGAAGTACAGGCACGCCTGGAACCTGGAGGCACAAAGCGGAGTTTTCATATATGGAGAGCATTTTCATAATAGCGAACGGTGATCTGTGGGCATTATATCATTAACATCACAGTTTTACATTTGTGCTAAATCAGTCGTATATATCATTTTCATTGAAAAATATCTAAGTTCACAACCTACGAAACTTCATGTATATTATTTTATAGATGGAACTAAGTCAGATATATTTAGCCCGTTCTAGTATGAAACGGACAAAACTGCATAAAAGAAAAGTATTAAATCGGATAAGTAGGCTAACTGAAATATATACATTTTAATTAAATGTAAATTTAGTCTAGGACAACTCAGGAACAATGCAACGGTAATCTGCGCTAAAAATCAGTTGCATGCCGTTCTTGAAGCAAAAAAAAAAGTAACGAGTGTAACGTTAATGTAGGTACCGTTTGAAGTGTCCGAGTTCATCGAAAATCCTCTCCACATATTTCATGGTTTCGGGCGCCGGAGAAGCCCTCGCCGGCGTCCCCCGATAGCGGCACTGAGCTCAGCAGCGGACCGCCGGCAGACTTTTCTAACTTAGTTATCAGTAGCGCACGCCGGGTAGGAGGAGCAGCGAGGCGTGCAGGAAATTTCCACTGTCCCACTTCACACGCAAATAAGAGTTACACTTATCACGCCTTACACCTTTACGTGCGCTTCAAAAGCCTTTAAGTCGAAACCCTTGGACAGCTACTGTTTTTGTCCTGTACGAAATTTGTCTACGTAAAGGCATGTCTTCTTAAGGGATGTCTTACTTAAAGGTAGAGAACCTAATTCACTATGTCCATTCACCACAACGGGGAAAAGCAGGGAACTTAAATTTTCTTCATGGAAACATCTTTAGCTTCACTTATCTTACACATATGCACATGCAAATTGAAATAAACCACCGGAACATCATTTTGTTTCCCCCAAAAGTCGTATCCACCATTTCGCTGCTCTTACAAGTCTCGTCTCTTTCACCCAAGGTAAACAAGTGTAAACAAAAGTTGCTAAAACAGCAGGCAACAGATGGACAAATACTTCAGATTCATTCTGCTAATACAGTCCTGCAAATAGTTATTCTGTACTGACTTCCTCTAAGGGAGATAGGTGTCATCCCATAGCTGCAATGCCTCCTCAAGTTCTCAGACGGCTGTGAGGGCTAAACTTTCCATGGGCAGAAATAACATGACGCATGCCAGTTTACCAGATGACTCGAAGGCATCTCATTCAGATAGCCGGGATGGTCAATGGAGAGTATGTCAAAGAGTCTCCTGGTCCAGATGTCCAGAAAGGTTGTTTAGAACCTGTCAGCCACTCTTTCGGGTGGTCAGGGGTAATCTTCTCTGTGTGCTCAAGGTCAAAGAAAACATGCTACAGTTTACACACGCACAATGTCCCGGTTAAGGGTCCAGCTCACAAATCCATTTTCTGAATTCCTGAGTTTGTCTTTATGGATTATCAGCATGCATACATAGTGGTTAAGCTGCTTTAAATCAGTTTGTGGCCTGCAAGAATAATGAATGACAACATTATACTGCCATCTTACTGTAGGTATCTCGACATGCTGCTGTACCACAGGTGATTGTAGACACTTTTTATGGAGTTTCAGCCACCAATTTTTTTCTCACTGCTCCTGAAAAATTATTCAAATCCATTTTTATCACAGGGGACACGGAGGTTGGGGGCACACCCTATTTCTACAGATTGAAAGTGGCAACCCTACTGGCATGGACGGGAACAAGTCACTCCTTGGCGAGTCACAGCCAAGTCTCGAGTCAAAACATTGCGAGTCCGAGCCAAGTCTCGAGTCAAAACTTTGCAAGTCCGAGCCAAGTCTCGAGTCAAAACTTTGCAAGTCCGAGCCAAGTCTCGAGTCAAAACAGAGAGTCTGAGCCAAGTCATGAGTCAAAACATTGCAGGTCTGAGTCAAGTCTCAAGTCGTGTGCCCTCGAGTCCAAGTCTTTCCATCATTTTTGCTGTCGAGTCACAAGTCATCAAATTTGTGATGAGTCCAAGTCGAGTTGCAAGTCAGTGACTCCAGTGCCCACCTCTGCCTACCAGGGACTGAATCGTACTAGATGTCAAATCCTAGAATCATCTCAGTACTGTACTAAAGGCTATATCTTGTAAAAACTTAATCTTTTGAAAAGTGGTTTTCATGTGGGTGGGTTAACTGCTAGATCACTATTGACAAGTTCAGACAGCCAATGATGATGAGTTATGGAGCAGCAAACACTCTGAACGTTCACCGTTCAGGTGAGATTAACCTGAAACTTCGACACCGCCAGAATCCTGATCTAGTGTAGATGTGGAACACCATCAAGTGAGGTTGTGTGTGGCTCCGTGGGTCAGGACCATTTGCCTGTGATCGGATGGTTGCTGGTTTAAATCCCATAGTTGTCAGTGAATATCAGTTTTGGGCATTTGAGCAAAGCCATTAACCCCAGTTGGTTCAGGAACTGGTTTATTCTGCATTCTCAATGTATCACTTTGGATAATAGCATATATTAAGTAAATATACGTAAGTGCCAGTAGATGGCGTTGTAGTAGTAATAGTTTGATATATTTTGTCACTCGAGATCACAGCTCAGCAGGAGAGTATGACTATCACGTGAGACACAATTCTCTGCACGTTTGGACAATGAGCTCACAGTGACGCGTCTATCCATACATCCATCAGTTCAACCATCTTCTAAACAGCTTATCCTGGTCAGGTCACGGACGTGGCTGTCCCATGCAGCAAAGGCCACCAGTCTGGTATTAACCCTGGACCAAATTCCAGTTCCCACATTAAGTCAGTTTAAATTAATACGGTAATCCGTAAAATGTTTGTGTCCAATCCAGGCAGCTTCCCGGTGAGCATGAAAGACATAACGCAGGTCAGCACGTTGTAGTAGACGTCGGGAATTATATTATATCACTCTCCCTTTGCTTATGTATAATATAATGTTAGTACAGGCAGTCTCCGGGTTAAGAACATCCGACTTACGGACAATTCATAGGCCTACATACGATGGACTGACATAAAGCCTATTACATTAAATTACATTATCGGGTTAAATACTACGGTTCGTAATAACGAACTCTACTTTGAGACGCTCGTGAAAACATTGCTCAGCTTCAGTGGTTCGTCGGTTCGAGGTGAAGTACAGTACCATATATAATTTGAGTTATTATTACTGTATAATTATTATGGGCTGCATTATTATTTTCCCGATTTACCTACAACTTCGACTTAAAGACAGTTAGGTAACGGATCTCATTCGAAACCTGGAGACAGCCTGTAATATGTTTATTTTTAAGCCTAATACTTACAGATTGCCCTTAAATTTCAATTAAACACTGATGATGATATTCACCATATATTTACACTTTTATGTTATTTTCGTAAGAGAGACCGTTCCAATAATTAATTCAGTGATTTTGAAAGAACATGCACAGACTCGACGCTGCCATATTGAAATGAAAAATGTCGCTGTTGCGTGTATGAAGGCGTGTATGAAGGTATGATGAGGCGTCGGGCCAATGGGGGAATGTCTTCTGGACCACGCCCATTTAGCATGTGGTTCATGTGAAGACAGCAACAGTCTGTGCGACAGCTGCGCCCTCATCGCTTAAGCCAGGGGTGTCAAACGCCAGTCCTGGTGGGCCGGAGCCCTGTGCAGCTTAGGTCTTTCCCTGTTCCACCACAAATGATTTAGCTTATGAGCTGTGTTGTAATTAGCACAAGGAGTTGAATCAGGTGTGTTAAACGAAGGTAAACCAAAAACTGTGCAGGGGGGGGGGGGGGGCGTGCTCTTTCCATGTATAGGCAATTAGACTACGTCGTCGCTGTGCCTTTTCAGTGAAACAACGGTGATGTTTAAGATATATAATGAGCTTGTAAGTGCAGGCAAATGGAAGCTACAGTTTCTGTCAGACTTATTTACTCTGGGGAAGGTTAAAGGCGGAGTGGCACCATGCCAGTATTGGATATCGCAAATGATTTAGTGCCAGCTCACTAATTAAAATGTTAGCTTCACTGAAAGTGCTAAATATATCGACCTTTAAGCACGTACAATGATGCATCGCTGGCAATCCCACCCACGTGTTGTTGTATTAGCATCTTTCGGATGCTTCGGGCATTTAGGGCTGTGCTTCCCAACCCAGTCCTCAGGGAACCTCGGACTGTCCATGTTTTTGCTTCCTCTCAGCTCCCAGTGCACCTGTACCAGGGATTCGGTGTTCCTGATTGGCTGGGAGCTGGCAGGGAGCAAAAACGTGGACTGTCTGGGGTTCCCTGAAGACTGGGTTGGGAAACACTGATTTCGGGTAAGTGGGGACTCAGAAATGTCAAATTGAAATGGACTAACATTCCGTGTTAGCCCCTTGGGGTGCCTGTGCTGGGCTCCAGACCCCCCACCCAACCCCTCCCCCGTGACACTGACCAGGATAAGCGGTTGGTAGATTTTTGGTTTAGTGGTTAAATGAAGCTGTGATTTCCATTTCAACAAATTCAGCTCACTGTATATATTTATATATAAAATATATATATATATATATATATATTTAAAAAAAAAAAAACACAGCACATTCGTATGTTGTAAATATGCACTCTTGGTGGTTTAATACATTACGTTACACAGTAAATGCACCACTATACAGCTTGCTGTCTGAATGCATAGCCCCACTACAGGCCTGTCGCATTGCAGTTCATGGATTCTTTCCAGCGTATTCGGTTTGAAGGTTATGAGGTGAACAAACCCGTAACCAGTAAGGTTGTAATAAGGTTTGAAGTATGTTTTACAGCTGTACTTCAGCAGGCATCTTGGTGTGACAGGTAACCTGTAGCCTAGTTGAGTGGGTCCCTTTTTTGTGGCATGGTGATGCAGATTCGTAGTAGAACAGAGGTCATGGTTAATAATCAGCGGGTGGCATAAAGGGGAAGTTCGGGCTATTACAAGGGCCCCTGAGTGACTGGGGGCCTAAAATTGTTGTAACACAATTGAATTTGTGTGGGTTCAGGGGCCTAATATTATATAATTTCATTGGCCACAAAATCTCTAACAGCACCCTAGCAATAATGGAGAGTGTTCATGTGAAAAATGCATAAATATGTATTATTTATTATTAATTGTTAATTCGTTTGGACGATCTTTGGCACACAGTATTTCTTGGTGACTGGATAGATCAGTGCAATGAATTTCTAGGAAATGCCCTGAAACTTTTTTAATGAACAAGGTTGGTTACATCGCATCGCGTCCATTACCCAGAGAGTCGCGTGTTCGCGGGAGTTTGACGCCGTTAGCGAACATGAGTCCTTGAAAATCTGTAGTATTATTTCTGTGTATCGATACGTTTCAGAATGTTACCAAAAGCACATATACATATGTGGCAGCATTTACAATTATCAATGTCTGTATTTCTTTTTTGTTTTTTTTTTGAGACACAAGTGACCGCAGCCTGATTTGTTTGCGAATTACGACAGTAAAAACTTTTCACTTTATAATTTTTGTTGTAAGCACGGGGGGGCTTTAAGGTCAGAGGCCAGGAACTGCGTGTTAACATCCCAGGAGGGGGGGATTCCGGCTTTCAGGACAGGCGTATTGACTTAGCTCTGCAGATCTAAAAATGCTGCCGTAGCGCTGAATTGGCTCATGTTCCGATCTGTCTGTGGTTACGGCTGTGCTATGTTTAGCCAGCCTGGTCTGTGTTTACGGCTGTCCT